ACTGTTCAATAGTCCATTCACTTTACTCGCCGCAGCTAGCCAAGGCTTGGATGAAAGTAAAATGATTGGTCTTACATCGTAAAGCCCACGGAGTCACCATCGTATGTTCGAATCGATCATCGTATTGTTTCTCTCACTGCAGCTAGTTGAAACAAGGATGGAAGAATAATTATTTGCTGCCAAACGGCGCTCCTACAGAGTAATCATTGTATGTTTTGTTCGATCATCACATTCTTTCACTCAGCGCAGCTAGCCAGGACATGGATAATGTCGCTTCTATTCAGACAGAATCGAACATTCTATTCTATCGTCAAATGATGTTATTCGGCACAGCAAGCCAAGATATGGCTGATGTCGCTCCCATCGTACGTGCTGTTTGTTCATCACATCATACAACTTTACATCCTCATTGAATCATTTCGTAACCTGTCTGATCTTCCTTGCACAAAGCAAAACCTCTGCATCGGCATTGTTCGTCACCTGTGTTGTTTTGCCGTTGCTTCGCGATTCTTGAGATATTAAGCATGTCATTAACGTAGGTTACCCTGCCCTGAAACATGACCGGGCGATGCAACACCCGCCCGCTCCCACTTTGTGCCTTCTCTAGCTCAACCAAAAAAAACCTTCAATGGTTAGAACCAAACAAGAACCATATACAGATACTTTAGAATGATATGGGAGGGAACTAATTTATTGAAGGAAAAGAAAAGTCATAACTCATGAGCAAACCAAAAAAAACCTCGAAATCTCCCTACCTCCCCCTCCTCACAACAATCACATCTTCCAGCTCTCAGTTCCCACCACTTTGAGACTCACTTAGAACAATCTCATCATCGTTGTCTTCCTCTTCCACATCCTCAACGCACTCCTCCTGCCCTGTACTGTTCAGGCTGGGCGAGGGAGAGGCCGCTGATATGCCTTTTTTGCTCTCTTCGGATTTTGACTTTTTTCCTGCTTCCCTTTTCTCAAAGGTACTATGTCTGAGTTGTCTTTCCGAAATGCTCTAGTAAGCATGTGGTAATCTTGTTAAGCATTCCTGGAACTGTTAAGGACGTGGTAACGCAGTAGTTTGTGCCCAAAGACCTCACTATCATGTTCAGTATGTACCCTCCCACCAAACTTCGACATTTTTTTTAATGCTCCTCTTGATGTACTGGGAGTGAGAAGAGTTTGAGTCTATGTGACCAAAAGCCACCCTTCCAAACCTGCTAGCCTGGCTGCGGGTGTTGGGGGTGGATGGCTGGGGGGCCAAAGAAAAGGGCTCGAGCGGGCCGAGTGATATTTCGTGATTGTTCCTCAAGAACATTTCTACAGTTGATAGGTGATATACCACAGGCATCAAAAGCATGGAGAATTGAGTTTACGTTGTAGGTAAGCTTGAATGCTAACCCCTGAAGCCTAAAGGCAATGGTTAGGTTACAGCAATCCAGTATCAACAATCTCAAGAGGGGGAAGCGTACTTGTAGAACTCCCCTCTTGTGATTGATATGAGCCCATGACTATTCAGCTTGTCAAGCTATGCACTGCTTTGTCAATGATGAGTGGTGATATGTGCTCTCCTGCAGTTCCAACACAGAAACAAATTGCCGCTCTCAATTCTGCACAATTTTGATTTCCCCCTACTCTTGTACAGATGACATGAGCCATGAGCACTTTTCCGAGCAGGAAGCCTTTCTCATCGATGTTCCATATATTGTGAACTTCAATTCCATGCACATCCAGAGCTCTCTTCAACTTAGAGGAAGTTAATGAGAGTGGTGCCGCATTTTTTTGGGGGGGTATTGACCAGTTGGAAAAATTCCGCTAGCACCTTCTGATCATCTTCCTGGGCCCTGTGGCTCTCAAGGCAGCTAGCTAACTTGCATACAAAGCTAGGATGGCGGTTCAGGAATTGTGAAATCTAATGCTTGCCTGGCTGTCTTCGCTTTTCTGGGTCCTGCATATGACAGTCAAGACCCCTAACATAAGTAAGCTTTAGAAATAAGCCCCAGCTGTCGAACCACAGACACAGCTGTACAATAGCCTCCTCCTGCACTGGCATCAGGAGAGCACTCTCAGGATGTACTTCATGGGCTGGCTTTGTGCCTCTTAGCCTTCTGGAAAGGGTGGTGAAGTCCACCTTGTAGTGTGTTGCCACTTTTCTGATGCTTGGAAATTTGCCACCCTTGTAGTCCCTTATAGCCTTCTGCATAGTATCATCCTCTGTCTGTACCTTCCTTGCTTTGACTCTAGGTATTGTGGTTGTGGGTGGAGGTTGTGGTTGTGGTTGCTGCCCGGCTGTTACTCCGAAGATGGAGTGTCATCGGGGTGTTGCATCGCCCGATCGTGTTGCATGGCAGGGTAACCTACGTTACTCTCCTACGATTCCTTATTTCGATTTCCGTACTCGACGCCTTCGTTCATTGGTCTAATGCTCATCTCCAGCACCCAGCCAGCCAGTCGAGATCATCTCCAGCAAGCGGCCAGCCAGAGTGCATGCTGCCAGCCTCCAGCCAGCCTGTACAAATCGCCCCCTGCCAGCCCGTCGAGATCGTGTGCAACCAGCCTCTAGCCAGTCCGTTGAGATCGTGTCTAGCAGATCTCCAACCAGCACGTCCAGCCAGTCCGTTGAGATCGTGTGCAGCCGACCTCCAGCCAGTCCGCCAAGATCGTGTCCAGCCAGCCGAGAGCTAATCAGCCTAGATCGTATCTATCCAGCCTGTCCAGATCATTTTCAGCCAGCCCGTCCGGATTGTCTCCAGCCACCATCTCCTACCCAGTTTCACTCGATAACCACCATCTTCACTCGATCAACAACTGCCAGCTCCTACCCAGCTTCGCTCGCTCACCACCAGCTAGCTTCGCTCGATCAGAAACCACTATCTCCTACCCATCTTCGCTCGATCACCACCATCTTTATTCGATCAACAACCGCTATCTTCTCTCAATCACCACCATCTTCTCTCAATTTCCACCATCTTCTCTCAATCAACAACCTCTAGCTCCTACCCAGCTTCACTCGCTCACCACCAGCCAGCATCGCTCAATCAAAAGCTGCCATCTCCTACCAAGCTTCCCTCAATCACCACCATCTTCACTCGCCAACTCCTACCTACATTTGCTCGATCACCACCAGCCCTATTTGCTTGATCAACTGCCGCCAACTCCTACCCTACTTCGCTCAATCACCACTAGCCAGCTCCGCTCAATCTACAGCCACCAGCTGCTAGCCAGATTCGCTCAATCACCACCAGTAATCTTTGCTCAATCAACAGTTGCCAGCTCCTACCCAGCTTTTGCTGAATCACCACCCGCCAGCTCCTACCCAGCTTCACTTGATCACTACTTGCTCTCTTTGCTCAATCAACAGCCGCCAGCACCTACCTAGCTTTGCTCAATCACCACCAGCGAAACCACCATCTCCTGCCTAGCTTCACTCGATCACCACCATCTTTATTCGATCAACAACCGCCATCTTGTGTCAATCACCACCATCTTCTCTCGATCAACAACCGCTAGCTCCTACCGAGTTTCACTTGCTCACCACCAGCCTGCATCCCTTGATCAAAAGCCGCCATCTCCAACCAAGCTTCGCTCAATCACCACCATCTTCACTCGCCAGCTCCTACATACCTTTTCTCGATAACCACCCGCCCTCTTTGCTTGATCAACACCCGCAAACTCCTACCAAGCTTCGCTCGATCACCAGTTGCTATCTTTGCTCAATCAACAGCCGCCAGCTCCTACCTAGCTTCGCTCAATCACCATCAGCCAGCTTCGCTCAATCAACAGCCACCCTCTCCTACCCAGCTTCACTCAATCACCACCAGCCAGCTTCGCTCAATCACGAGCCGCTAGCTCCTACCCAGATTATCTCGATCACCACTAGCTATCAACAGCCGCCAGCTCCTACCTAGCGTCGCTCAATCACCACCAACCAGCTTCGCTCAATTAACAGCCGCCAGCTGCGCATGATCACCACCCTCCATAATTGTTTGATCAACAGCTGCCAGTTTCTACCCAGTTGCGTTCACTCACCACCAGCCAGCTTCATTCAATCAATAGTTGACAGCTCCTACACAGCTTTGCTCCATGATAACCGCCAGTTCCTACCCAGCTTCGCTCGGTCACAACCTGCCATCTTCATTTGATCCAGCCAGTCGAGAGTCAGCCCAGCTCAACCATCTCCAGCCTGCCTGCATCGAACACGCCACCCCCGGCTCAAAGTGAACCTCCAAGTGTACCTGATCGAAATACTAATGCTTCGGTCCAGGTCGGCTCAATCACATAACTTACAGCCTGTCAAGAGATATGTCCAGCTCGATCATCTCCAGTCAGCCGAGAACCAGCCCGTATCGATCGCATCCCGCCAACAGATATGATCATCTCCAGCCAGCCAAGTGCCAGCTCGGCTCGATCGTGTCCAGCCAGCTGAGAGCCAGACCAGCTCGATCATCTCCGCCCAGCCGAGAGCCAGCCCGGCTCTATCGTGTGTAAGCAACCGTGAGGCAGCCATTTATGTCACACCAAGTGCATCCAAGATCTACCATGCTTTTTGTATATAGTTAGCAATAAATTTGTGAATCAAGGCTGTGACTGTGAATTGGCTGTGACCGTACAGTGTGCTGTGTCTCGGGGCAAATGCTGTGTCTGTAGGCACCAGGGCACGACGACTATCGGTTCAACCAATTAGGTTACTTGCATCCAGGCAAGACATGAAGGTAAGCAAAATTGTTGGCCGCAGTTATACTGAGGGCGGCGAAGCCGCCTCCATAGCTAGTATTTATATATAGCTGGTCTTTTCGAAGCAGCAGTGGAGGCCCCTGACCAGTCAATAAGTCAATGTATCTGTCAGATACAGGCTACCCAAACATAGGCCACTGTTGAACTAGGGCAAGGTAGAAGTCTGCAAAATTTTGAAGATTTTGCGGAATTCAAACTTATAGTTATAGCAAAACCATTCTAAAATGTTAGATTTGGCAAATAACTTCTGTTGGAACATATCAATCCACACTCATTAAGGGCCGGTAGCTCAGTTGGTAGAGCCTCCATCTACAACACAATGGTCCTAGGTTCAACGCCTAGCCAGTGCATTCTTTTCCATTGCTCAACATGGTAGCAACACTTCGTTGGTGAACAGATGGATGGCACGTGCGTGCGCCCTGGCAAAAGTACCCCAGATGCAGTGTCGCTTGAGGAGAAGTATTGAAACATGGTAATTCACACTCATCAATGGCTGATAGCTCAGTTGGTCAAGCATCGGTCAAGTATAGGACGGTTCTAGGTTCAACTCCAAGCCAGTCCCTTCTTTTCTGTGGCTCAACATGATCGCAACACCTTGTTGGCGAAATGATGGATGGCATGAGAGTAAGCCCCGGCGATAGCACACCAGATAGAGTGTGGCGTCAGGGGGAGTGTTGGAACATATCAATCCATACTCATCACGGGCCGGTAGCTCAGTTTGTGGAGCCTCCATCCAGTATAGGATGAACCTAGGTTCGACTCCTAGCCAGTCCATTCTTGTCTGCGGCTCAACATGGTAGCAACACATCTTCAGTGAAAAGATGGATGCCTTGAGAATGCACTCGGGCGATAGCGCACCAGATGGAGTGTAGCTTGACGGGAAGTGTTGGAACATGTCAATCCACAGTCATCAAGGGCCGGTAGCTCAGTTGGACGAGCATCTGTTTAGTATAGAAGGGTCCTATGTTTGACTCCTAACCTGTCCATTCTTTTCCGTGGATCCACAAGGATGAGGAATGTATGGAAGAGACATTATCCAGAATCACTGAGTGTGAAACAGAAATGAAAAGTGAAGTAAATGGATTGCTTTAAGGACGAGAGAACGAATGAAGAACAAAACTTATCCTTCTCTGAAGGCCTGGTTTATATACAGTAATTTGCTTATTCCATGATACATCCAAACACCTTCGCGCTTTGCATACATCTGTTCATGATTCCTATGTCTTCCGTGAAAACTGATTTGATACCTCATTTTGTTTTCGTCAAGCATTTGCGTCTGTTTTGAACCTGATTTCATTCTCATCATGTTGTAGCCTTCGTCTGAAACCTGATTTCATTCTGGTCATGCTTTGGCCTTTATTCAAAACTTGATCTCATTTTCGTCATGCTTTAGCCTTTGTTCCACATCTGATTTGATTCTTGCCATGCATTATTCCTTCTATCATTTCCTGATTGTCACTGTACCATCAATCATCACCCCGAACAACGGTGACAATATCTTCCCCTCTTCACTAACCAGTACCCATGTGGTTTAGGATCCGGACTTGCCAAATCGTCCAGTGCGACAGTCATTGATAGCCTTTCTTTCAACAACTGTAGTCATGGGCTCCCCACTGTGTTTGTTGTGGCCCCGCAATTAAACCACATATTCATGCTGCCTTCGGAACAGCCTGGAATCATCCATCTGTTCAAACCCATACACCTCTTTTCTATCCACTATTATCAGTGGTGGTTGTTCTTGCTTTTGATGTGGGTGAGGGTCTTGAGCAGCTGTCTGTGAATAAGATATGGGTTCGACATAGTGAATATATAACAGAATCAGCAATTTAACTCAATAGGCCCAGGGTCTGATGAGGTCTGTGAGTTCATAGGGTCCTACATGTTTTCAGCTGAGTTTCTTGCTTGGTCTGGCGGTCGATGGAATGCTGGCGTCTAGTCAGATTTTATCACCTTATACCAGCTGAACTCTGGTCGTTCGGGATCTGTGGGCCTGTTCCGACTGTATGGCCTGGGCTTTTTTCATCTTAGCTCTGAGATCAGTAGTCAGTCATTCCATCAGTTGCACTGTCAGCCTGGTGTTGACTGCGCAAATATCATATGAATTATTGATGGGATGTTGGGGGACAGTCATTTGTGGATGAAGGTTGTAGTGACCAAAATATGTGGTGCAATTACATGTCCCTGAGATATGATTGTTAGCTGCAAACTCTGCCAATTGTTACCACGAGGCACACTTGTCATGCTGGTAGTTAACAATGATTTGGAGATATTGTTCTATTACTGTAATGACTCCTTCAGTTTGGCTGTCAGTCTGGGGATGAAATGCAGTTGACAGACTTCATTTGATTACCAATCTTGCGCGGACATGTTTCAAGAATTCTAGAGTCAATTGCAGCTCTCGAACAGACAGGATCATTTCGAGTAGTCCATGCTGTCTGAATACTTCTTTGACATATATGTCTCCCAGCTTCTTTCTGTCATGGTTGTGTCGAGTGAGGATCGGAGGAAGAATATGGATTGATGAAGAGTATAGGGGAATACGAAGAGAAACAGGGTTCGATTGAATGAATCAGGTTTTGAAGGAAGGGAAACAGGTTTGGTATAAAGAATCAAGTTTTGATGGAAGGAATCAGGTTTCGATGGTTGCGTTGTAAATATGGCGTGATGGTTATGGCGTGGTATATGATTTGAAAGGGTTGCGTACATAGTTGGGTATGGTTTGGGTGTATTTTGGAACGAGTGGGTAAAGGTGACGACGGTCGCGTTAGTTGTATATAAGGGCGCTGGATTTGTGGAGGATAGGTTTGTTCTTCACTCTGTCTCTAGTCTACAAAACAATCCATAGCTTCGGCATCAACCTTTGTTCACTTTGGTGATTCTGGAATTCGAGTCTCTTGCCTGTTACGCAGTACCCGCGATCACTGCACTTTTATATCCACTATCTTAGTTTGGTTTTTATAACCCCTAGGACTCCGAGCCTTGAAACCCTGACACTTTCCATCCACTATATCAGTACAGGGTAATTGATATCACTTCTTCATTAGGTGATTGACCACTATCTATTCATTTTTCAACGCTTTGGTTTCGGGCAGTCTGACCAGGCGGGGTATGTTCAAAGTCGTCTGTAGTTGCTGCAGTACATCCGGCAGTTGTAACAAGCCATGAATTTTTCCGTGGGTTGCCTTGCTCCATTGGCAGGTGTGGCTGTTTCATATGTGGTGATGCATGTCTTCCCTCATTTGGTTCCAGGTATGGCTTCAGCTTAGCGGATTCTAGAATTTTGCTCATCCTGGGTGTCCCATGACGAGTGAATTAAGGCCATCTTTAATCCACTTGGACTGGTCTGTTTCCCTTTGTTGATTTTGGGTTTCAAAAATTTCCAACTGTTGTTTCTTATGGGTACATAGCCCCATGCTGTTGTCATTCAAGCATTGCTGACAAATGTTTCTCACCCAATCCATAGTGCTTTGAAACTCATGGAATCGTGAGCAATGTTGACTGTTTTGGCGATGGCGGCTATCCGCCAATCACCTAGTTTCTCATTGAGATTCACCATTTTTTGCATGATTTGTGGCATTTTTTCCGCCCCCTTCTTGGCAGAAATGTCTCCCGGCATTCTAATAAGTGTATCCAGCTTCTGTTGTTGTTTGCCTGGGCAAAAAATAATGTTGACGTTGAATTGCAAGTTGAATTCGGACCACCTTGTTTGCCTTCGATTGAACAGATTTGATGTCATGAAGTATTGCATGTTCTCGTGATTTGTGACAATGTAAATTGGATGTGCTGAACATTCACCTCTGGGCCTCCTTTGTTCCAGGCTTTTAACTACTGCACATGATTTTTGATCCTAAATTTTATAATTTCCTTCAGTGTGCAAGTGTGTTTTAGAGAACAAAGCAACTGGGTGTAGAACTCCTTGGTCATCATACTGGGACAGGACTGCTGCGGATATGTAATATGAGGCATCGGTTTTCAGAACAATCCCTGTTTAATAGTCACAATGGACTGACACTGACGCCATCGTGAAGGCTCATATGAGTTGCACGAGAGTATGTTTTTTATCCAGTCCCGAGCTGAACAATACCAGCTTTTCATCAATTGGGTTTGGGGTTGCACTACTTGCCTATGCTTGTGTATAAACTGTCAGCCAACATTAGCAAAGACTAGGGAGGCTTAAACTTCCCCAGGTTTCTCCGGTGCCTCCCAGTGTCCAATTGCTTCAACATTTTCAAAATCAATTGTATTTCTGTTGTCTTCTACAAATAACCGTAGATATTTAACCTGTTCTATTCAGAACTGGCGCTGTTCTGCGGTTAGACTGAGGACCGCTATGTTGAGTGATTTCAGTACCATTCAGACATGCACTTTGGGTCCCTATTGATTATCACTATGAATGAGAATGACATCCGAATAGGCAGTGCAAAACATGTCCAGTATTGGCTGTAGTGTGTCATTGATGAACTCTCGAAATGATGCTGGCTCATTGGTGAGTCCAAAGTGTATTACTAGGGATTCGAACAGTGCATATGAAAATCAGAAAGCCGAAGTCAATTGGTCTCCTTCATTGATTCTTATCTTTTTCCACAGATTGCGGATATTCAACTTGGTGTAGTGACGGCTTTTGGAGAGTCTTTGCAACGTTTTTTGGATGGATGGTATGGGGCACCGGATCATTGTTGTTCCTTTGTTCAAGCCGTGGGAGTCAAAGCATAGTACTATACTATCTGCTGCTTTCGGAGCGGAAGCAGTGGGGCTCATCAATGTGATTATAATGATGCAACGAATTCATTCGACATGTTCATCTCTATCCATGCATTTAGTACTCCCATCAATTCTCAGGAGAGACAGTAGATAGGGCCAGACAGACGTGTGAATCTTTTCTGTAGTTTGATTTTATGATCGTGAGGTCGATGTGGTGTTAATAATTCAGGACTTCCCTTGCAGAATATCGGTAGACTTCGTGGAATTCCTTGTGAATGACTGATTTGAGAGGACAGCTTTGTAGCACCTATATTCCAATGGCTTTATTGATTTTGTATAATGTGACAGTGTAAACCTTGACATTCTCCCTTTCTATTCTCCTCAGGAAGGGTGATGCTGCTACCGGGAAGATGTTCATTTTCGATATTTCTGGATTTACTACTGTTATGTCCTAGTGATTGCCTCATTCCCATTCGTTCAAATAATGCCTACAATTCTGTTGATAGAAGCTGCTGCCAAAGCTGATCATTCGATGTGGAAATTTGTCCGTTATGTCACACAGCTGTAATCCTGGCAATCTTCATACGATGGGATAATGCACCAGCCTTGTCATGAACAATATTAGTTGATCCTGCTGTGACATTAATGCTATAGTTAACTTGGCCATGCTCATAATGGTTCTCAAAACGTTGGGTCTTCCATCAATGACTTAAACATTGCTGACTTGTGTGATTCCATCTCCTCAAACAGCTGTTAGGGAACTGAATATCTATCGACACATACCAATCACGTGGCTGCGCAGTCAATCGAATCATGTGTGTCAATTGATCTTTCTCCAATTTGCAGCCAATATTTTACAACAAGATACGTGCTATCCATTCAAGATTCATTGATTTCTGTACCACTGATTCAATACAAAAAAATTCCGAAATGAGACTTGACAACTCTACAATCAGTTTTGTTTCCAGTGCAACTGCTATCCCTATTGCACTTGAGTAAGCTTTTCCTAATTTCTTTTGAGGGGCCTTTTCATTCGATTCATCTTCTTTGAACGGATAGATCTCTACTTGCCCCAAGGCTACCTTCAAATATCTTGCGCACAATGCTGTAACATGCTGCCTATACATGTTTCATATATCAATCCCTCTGTCTTTTCGCCTTGTGCTCTCTCCAGGGGTGATTTCTTTCATTGGACTGCGGACAGGTCCATTGAAGCGGGAGAGTGAGTTTCTGCTACGGTACCTGACAGTGATACAACTAGGGGGGATGTGATATCTTTCAACCT